AATGAATAATAAAGCAGTTGTACCAAACAAAATATCAAACAACAATACTATCCTATTGTTTTTCATTTTCCCAAGGCGAGTTTTTTTAAATAATCAAAATTAGAAATTGTTTAGTCTATGATAAACAATATATTACCGAGAAGGGTCCACAATTTTGAGTTTTAATTTAATTGTCTAACTTATAAAAATGGATTTCAATAGTTTCATGTAAATTTCGCTTATCTTAAGCAGCTTGATGATGACGTAGTGTCGAAACATGTAACAACCACCATAACCTCTTTAACTTTTCACTGAGCGATATTCCAATCAATTCGGCTTGATATGGTAAAGAATTTGTATAGTCGTTGGTTAATTTTGAAGTAAATTCTTTAAAGTGAACGCTAATGATCAGATACCAGAGTTATAATTTAAACAGTGTGTCGAGGACGGATGGACAGATTATGACTGAGAGACTTGCTCGCTTGATCACCGAATCTTTTATTAAGTATGAACCTTGTGGAAAACTTGTGGTAAGGTCCAAGGCCATGACTTGGGAAATTCCGGGGCAATTTCCTTGTTTTTGAATGCGAAATAGCCTTCTTAGGTTAGTTTGTGGCTGTTTCAGGGCGCGTAGACACGTAATATTACTACCAGTTTTAAGAGCTTTACCCTAATCTTTCTCATAAAGTTATAGTGATAACTGGGCATCTCTTTTTTCGTGTGTGAAACTTCAAAAAGTAACGATTTTCAAACATGAACTAGGATGTTATATGTACGTAAAGTTTTCTTGTTTCGTCTCTTCTTGTTAAATTGTAATACTTTAATAAAATTGCACTTTTCTGCACTACAATGCACCGGCACATACGGCTCTAGAAACAGTACGTTTTGTGGAAGAGTACCGCGATGGAAATGGAAGAAATCGTTAGCCTCCAAGATCTCCCGATTTAACGGCGTTGGACTACTTCGGTCATTTGAATACTTCAAGTTTATCAAAATCGATTACACACCCTTGGCGAATTGGGAGCTGCTACACAGGAAACTGCTCTCGACGCCGGCGCCGTCTGTCTTAATAATGGTGGTTAACATTTTGAACACTCGTTGTAAGCATGTGATAGAAACTAAACCGATACAACGGAATATCGTAGGATCGTCAGTATTACCATCGCTTTTTTAAGGGCTATTTATTCTAACCTTGCAACCTTGCAATCTTATATAGGCTATAAATAATATAAGGTTTGGAATGATGAAACGATTTTTAAGACGTGTTGCAGTGACGTACGGACAGAAGGGTGGGCATTGAATCAATCAAAATCATGTCTTGGGCATACAAATAATGCTCTTGGTCTTTTTTCTAACGATCCCGATGCCAGAATAACATTTTGGCATGTTTTGATCAAAATACATGTGGCCTCATGAATCAAAGAATCTCTTTATCCCCTCAGCATTAAAAAAAATATTTCTAGCATGTTATGAAAATGCTGTCTTCTGAAAACATTATTGGAATCTTCTCTTATGACCTTCAAAGTCTCTAAAACCTTCAGAATCGTTCGAATTCTTATCAAAGTATGTATTCGCATTTTAAGATTTCCATAAAATCTTCTTGCCATATTCTTGGAACCTTTGTTAGAATATTTTTAGAAGTGTTTCGATTACTTAGAATCTTCTTCGAAGTTTCTTAAGACTTAGGGATTTATTTTGGGTATATTGGAACGAAACGTTTGATCCCTTCTACCATTCAATTTTTAGAAAACTCCTTCCTTTCGAATCATTAAAACCCTGAGAATAATTACAATTTTTACAATCTTCATAGATCCATTTGCTTACAATATCATTAGTGTTCTTGGAATCTTTTGGAAAACATGAAAGATACAATATGCAATAGTAGCTATATAGCCCAAGGTGTAATAGTATTTTATTTGTTACTCAGTTGTAAACGTTGATTAACAAGACAAAACGCAAACGGGAAACGTCATGTTTAAACGCTACTGACTTGTAAAACTGGCAGTAGACCTGTAAAAATTTTACAAGTTAGTAATCTAGTAATTTCATTGGCCAGAATTAATGCGAAGTCTCTGTTACATGGATAACATGATATTTTAGACATTTCTTCGAGATCAATTTAAGAACTAATTATTTACGTTTTCTATTGTTTACAAATGAGTAACAAATAAAATATTGTACATTATATGCCAGGTAATAGTTTTTACTGCCTCTAGGAGATGACAGGCTCGCCTTTCTCCTATCGCCAGTAAAAACTCACTTACCTGGCTAATAATGTAATAGTATTTTACATTATTAGCCAGGTAAGTGAGTTTTTACTCTAGGAGATGACAGGCTCCCCTAACGGCTCGACAGTCACCTTCTCCTATCGCCAGTAAAAACTATTACCTGGCGTATAATGTACAATATTTTATTTGTTACTCATTTGTAAACGTAAATAATTAGTTCTTAAATTGATCTCGAAGAAATGTCTAAAATATCATATTATCCATGTAACAGAGACTTCGCATTAATTCTGGCCAATGAAATTACTAGATTACTAACTTGTAACATTTTTACACGTCAGCTGTAGTTTTACAAGTCAGTAGCGTTCCTGGTAGCGTTTAAAGATGACGTTTACCCGTTTGCGTTTTGTCTTGTTAATCAACGTTTATAACTGAGTAACAAATAATAGTATATTGAAAGACAAGTGTTACAATGCTTTATTATAATACGACTATCTTGTGGCACGAGTGGCAACGCGAAGCGTAGCCACGAGTGTCCGCAAGATAGGAGTATTACAATAAAGCATTGTAACACGCGTTTTTCATACTATTTTTTCTATTTCGGTGGTTTAATTTAAAAAAAAAATCATTATCAGAAACTATAGGGAACATTAGAACTAACATGTTTTATGTTGGGAACACTTTTTATGCCGTTAAGTTTTAGGTTGGCAGCATAGTAAGACTGACATTTTGAAGTTCAAACATGGAAGTACCCAACGAAGTACCTACTTGTACTAACTAGTAACTGCCAACTTAAGAGATGAGTTACAAAAAAAAAAACGACTATAATCACTGTCTTTGTACAACCGAAAACAGTTGTACAAAATCATCATTGTGACACCGAAATAGAAAAAAGATATTGTGGTATCGGTATAATTTTGTATGTCGAAATAAGACATATGTTACGAATTTCATTGCCATATTGGCATAAGGCGTTATGTCCCAAAAGCATTTCGCCCCGAGGGAAACTTCCCTCTATTCCCCCTCCCTCCTGTTCAGTCTGAGCTGTACAGACTATACAATGGGTCCAAGAGAAGAATTAACAGCATGGGGAAATCGATCCTGCTTCATATGTGTTGCTAACTTGAAACAAAATATGCATGAAAAAAAGAAGATGAAACAATAGGGATTAAATAATGCTGTGTGTGGAAATAAAAAGAATAATTATAAAATAATAAAAATTCATATATTTGTCACTGAGGCTGCTGCTGAGCCAAAATTTAAAGCAGGATAGGATTTGGACAAGATGTATAAACTATACTTCATGGGTGTGGGCGATCCTGCTACCAAATTGTTGACAGTTTCGCGGACCTTCAATAGATTACTGGACTCATGATAAATTTGACCCAAAAAACAATTTTTCATTTGGAAGTAAACGATAAATCACTACTTAACTTTACACAAACAAATAAGTATATAATTAGTTTTATACTTACCTTCGACTTTTTCTTTAAAATTTCATGCTGGAAAAAAATTAATAGCATATCGTGGTAAGTAGGCGAGTGTTATAGTGATTGATGGTTACTAATGAAACGTCTAAATTTATTCATAATTGCATTCTTGCACAATATCAAAGGTTCTTGCATGTATTTAATGTAAATAAACTAGGTAATTGGTGTAATTTCTACTGTGCTTTCACGTGAATCGTTAAGGTATAATTAGTCACTTCATCTGCGGCGTCTGAAATGTTTCTATACTTAACACACGAAAAATTGACTAATAAATTGGGGTGAGTAAGACATTTAAATTGAAATTGATTAGCTAACAATGCCGGAATTTGTTTTGTAATGAATGTGTTGAATACTTGAATTCGAATTAAACAGATCGCAAATATGGGAAATGTCAATCCAAATTATTTACAATAATGGCACATGATTATACCTCATTCATTATATACGAAGGCAGAATTTAGACACAAGTCAATATTTGAAAAAAGTCGATTGATTTAAATTTCGCAATATATTTACAACAGAACAAACCGAGTTACGTATGCGAATCCAAGAATGATGGTAAATATCGTCTGATTTATGTGTTGGCTAATTATCCTTCTAATTTAAATGCAAATATATTTAATTATTTCGACAATAATATACCCGTTTATATTATAACAATATACAATTTGACAAATTTACATAGACATTTAAAATTTTGATTTGAGCATAATTTTAATTTGCGGAAAACACTCGCCACTCGAAAATACCAGGTTTAGATTCGCTATCGCAAAATCTTTACGGGAATTGCATTCGACATAAAGTCTGATAAATGGCAGTTAATATTACAGTAAAAACTATAAAATGTAATGACATTTAACCTTAGGTTGAGTTAAGAATATAGAAAGTTTTAATATAAATCTAGCCAGTAGCTGGCACTGTAGTTGTAGACTAATAGAAATGCCAACCAGTATAGATATAAATTACATTAATGTATCGTAAACATTCATATATGTAAGCGAAAGAATCATAAATATGTCACTATCGTTGTCAAGTAAATGCCGATAAATGTGTTGTTAAGAAACTTCTTCAGCATCAAAAAGGAACAACTAGATATTACGTAGGGAAATAAAAGTCTTAAAATGACATCGGACTAAAATCAGCAGCTGTACCAGTTGATCTATTCTAGGAGTAAATTATTACTCTGTCAACTCGTTAGTTTGTTCCAATTATTTTTGCTTTATGTGCGATGAAATGCTAATTTACGGTTCTCAATATATTATAATCAAAAAGCGTCCTTAATTCATTTCATTATTTTTATTTGAATATTTTTTTTGCATAGGAAAAGAACAATTAGCGTTCAAAATAAAACAATTTCTGTGAACAATAAATATGAACAAAAACGCAAATTACTCTCTAGAAGGTTTTGCCACAGAAATGCAACTAATAGTAATAACATCATAATGTATTTAAATTTAACAATGAAGGATATTTTATTGCCACTTACACAAACGATTATTTAAATAATAACCATTCAAAAATTAAAAGCAATATAAGTATATTGACACTAAAATACATCACAAATAAGCAAGTTGGACACTCCACCGAGTAAATAAATGTGCAATGGCGTAATATTTACTCGTGTCATTTTGAAGTAGGTAATATGAATATTTTAAATAAATATATTTAACAACGTTGAGATCTGTACATTAAATACATATCCGTCACAGTTTTTTTCTTATTTGCTCGCGCTGATTTAATCAGTACTATGTTCACTCACCACCAAATATATCTATAAAAAGGTAATGTCATATCACACGATCACGTTTACAGTAACTTTGTAAACTTTAATTAAAACAATTTGATATACACTTAAAATTAGACTAGCGAAGTCCGTGTCAACACAGCTAAAACATTTGGCTTGCAAATACGAAAAACATTATGCGAAATTAAGGATGCATTCCTGAACTTGTACTCAGTCGCGGCCCGTAAAGACTGTAGGGGGATAGATATGCTGGAAGACCTGGATGACCCAGAGGAAAACTAGATAATGTGGATGAGGTAAAGGATGGCGGTAATAAAGACGGTTTACTGTACGGGTGATACCTGGCGGTTGCTAGTGGGCTTAGAGGTGGAGTGGGATATGTTCTGTGTAGTAAAGGATGTGTGGGCGGTAGACTTGTAGTATTTAACATCGATAGAGTTGGATTTGTTTCCGCTGCCGATACGATCGCCGTGTGGCTCCGTAAATGCTGCAATAATTCTTCTGAGGTCGAAAACCGTTTGCCGCAATAAGTGGCGTCTCCCGCAATCCAATTACAGACATATGGAAGTTGAGAGGCGGCAGCTAACGCCGCTAATTGTGCGTGAGCGTAAGCAGCTGCCAAGGGATTGTGTCCTAAATAGCCGGCCGTCTTTGACGCGACGTGATCGCACTGCGTACATCCCGCCGGACAATTCGATTTTCCGCCAACTCCACTGGAAGCTAACAAATGCGAGCTTAAACTGCAACCCGTGCAATAAGGATCTCGACAAGCCGGAGCTAAGCTTTCAGATCCCAACGCTCCCTTCATACGAACGTAACTCGAATACGGGCCAAAAGCTCCACTTTTCAGAGACTGATGATGTGATAATAAACTGCTTGCCATCAAATCCATCGGTAGCGGAATACCTGGAGTTGGATACCCTCCAAGGAATGTAGAAGTTGGCGGCATAGCTCCCGGCTTAAATGTCCCTAATGGCAAATCTTTGATACTCGGGTCGGTGGTTGACGTTAAAATACTAGGCGTAGATGCAGTTTTTCCGTTCGATGATGCCGGGGTTGGACTTGAAATACTATCCCTGGACTTTGTAGGGCTCGTCCGTTCCAATTCATTGGGGTCGACAATTGGAGTTTTTCTATCGGAAGCTGCCGGTGACGGACCTGGAGATGCCTCACTTTGATTACTGCTACACCTGCTGTTGGTAATTGTCGATTTTGCTGGTGTCCTTACTCGATTTGCCGAACTTCGGTCTTCTGGCGACTGCGTTTTGTCACGAGGTAAACTAGCGTCGTACGGTTTGAAACTCGATTTATTATGTGATTCGTTACAATTAATAGCACTGGGCGATTTTGATTTTATCGAATCGCTTTTACTAGACTTGTTTCCTTTTTCGGCACTTTGTATAAGTTTACTGTTAGGTAAGTCGGCACCAATTTGGCTACAAGTCTGTGCTAAAAGCGCAAGCGGGCTCTTTTTGGCATCCAGCTGTAAAGAAAGAAAATCGCGTTAGTTTTCAGGAAGCATACAAAATTGTGCGCACGGTGTAAGTAAGAATTTCATCACAAAAATAAACATACCGTTGTTGGTAGAGGAGTTAGATATTCTGGTCGTAAATACTGATTTCCAGAAGTAAGCATGATGTAATTTTACTACACGTTTCACCCAATTCAAATATTTAGAACGTCACTACATTCACTATAAATTATCTCACGTGTCTGTATAACTAAAAGAGATGTTGACGAGTGAAACACAAAAGCATGACTGACGCTCGGAAACGACGTACGACAAGCGCGCTTACTGAAACTGACGTCACGCGTCTCTGCATCCCCACTGCTGTGAGCTTTGACACCCTCGACCGCAGATCACCATGTTATTGCTTCTTCTATTTGCTTGTCGACACCCTTCATTTTGCCCTTAGCCCTTCACACTCTACACATCACGGTATTTAGTTTACAATCACTTTTCTTGTTTCAATATCCTCCTCGTTCGATTCCGCGCCGGAAACGACAACATCTCCTTCTTAAATTTTAATTTACCAATCCATCCTAATTGCTTCGTCTTTCTCAATAATTGGTTACCACTTAGTACGTCGTCCGCTTTTCATGAATATTTCAACATTTAAATAATTAAATGTGTGAGGATCCACTTTATTTTCATTAAGATATCAAACTTTAATATCTTCGAGCTACGTCATAGACACCACTAATCAAAGATGAAGTAAAACATGTCATAAAATAGCAGTTATATTAAAAATTAAGTGTACAACTTATAGCCCAGGGCCTATCCATCATTTTATATGGGTAACTTTCAACAAATTAGAGACAACCTGAAAGTTAGCACGGTCTAAACACCCTCTGAAACCCCAGCGTCGAGGCGTTGAGCCCGTCACCCCAAAACCATCCCCTAAGTGGGATAAAATCTCCCTTTTTGGAAATTTTTTAAGAAAAAACGTCAAGAGAGAAAAATTGTAGAGAAGAAAATTTCCTACCAAATACGTATACACCAAATTTTTTAGATGTTGAGTGATGCAGATAACATTTTCAGCAACCCATTCAAGCACTTCCCAAACTCATTTCCATGGCGCCCCCTTTATTAAAAGTAAATTTGCTCACCCCCCCCCCCTCCTATTAACAAAAATGCTGTTACAACAAACGTATTTATTAAAAAATTACAGGGTGAGTTTTTTTTTCATTTTCACTATGGAGACTCGGAGTCGGAAAGCATAATTGATACAAAGCCATTTAAATGGGCAAAGTTATCCAGAATTTGATGGTGATTTTCCCTTTCAAACTTCCTTATAGGTCTACAAATTGCGATGTTATGGTCAAAAAACCGAAAAATGTGATCTTCGAAAATGCGCTGGCGTTCATTTATTTTCAAAATAATTATTTTAACAAAACCTTGGTGAATTTTTCTCAACTTTCTGACGGTGCTAAAAAATTGTTATGCGCAATAAAATATTATGTTTTTGTCAGATATTGCAGCCGTAATGCCCGTAATATCAATGGCTTTTGAGGCCGATTTTAGTTCATTCGAGATCTCTTCTTTTATAGCACCATCATAAATCGCACATACACTATCATTTGGAACCATTGTGCTAAAAAGGCGAATTTATCGAGTACCTTCTTATTTCTGTAAGAATCGGTCAAATACAATTTTACATAAAAATACCCAATATTATATAAGTATTGTAAAGGTATCTATTTGCTTCGCACACATCAGGGATATCGCGCCGACGCGCCCCCCAGTTTGGGAAACACTGATTATTTATTTTAGAGTCTACATTAGAGCAGTGTTTTTCAAAGTTTTTTGTCTGGTGGCACACTAAACTTATTAAACATAAAACAAGTCGCGGCACCCTATTATTTTTGCCTTTTTTACAATTACTAAAGATATGAAGGATGAGTAGTCTTTGAAAAAATAAGATTCTATATTCTGTGATCGTCACGCGTAACGCTCGGCAGCCGAAAGCGAGCTTGGCCCGCTCGCCTGGTCTCGTTCACGATTTTTTAAAGAGGGTTTACCGATTTGAAAGAAATGATAGCATTAAAATAGCCAATGTGTCTTTGAAATTGACTAAAATACACATTTAAAGCGTATTTAATAACTGGGGTATAATACTTATTTATTATACAAGACGATAAAGGGATATTTTAACCATTGAGTGAAAGATGTTTAACTTTCACGAGATGGTTAGTTTCCCTTTATCCTCGTGTATAATACAACACTTTATTTTATTTTATAGCAGAAGCCATATAAATCATTGTAAAGTTTCTGACTAATTTGAATTTAATTTAGACGTCAACAATAGCATAGCAAGCTTAGGTTCTGTCGTCGCGGTTTCCATAGAAACAACATTGTCATATATTCCAGCCGTGACTTTATATCTTACTCTGCATGACATTTGAAATAGGAATGACAGATATCATTAGAATGCACAATCGTCTGTTTCACTTTATCTACCCTAGCGGTTAAAGTGATCACTTCATCTGCCCTCACGCTTAAAGAGCAATTTAGCCTACTCATTGAAACGTATTAAAATGCCATTTTAACATATGCTATAAAATAAATAAAATGAATTTAAGATTATTGTTATAATACGTATTAGCTTGCCGCTTTATAAGTGATATTTACAATTTAATAGCAGGGTGTGTAGCGCAACTGCAACGCCGCCGCCCTTCGGTTAACCATAGAAATAAATAAAATAGAAACATAAAAAAACAGAATTATAATTTAAAAAATTATTATATTATTAATATTCATTTTTTATAATTGTTTTAATTTTTTTTTATTTAAGTAATTTTAGCTTAATTATGTATAACAAAATTTTACGGCACTCACTTTGAGAACCACTGCATTAGAGTCTAAGTTTTTATTATTAAAATTAAAAATTAAAAGATATGGAAAAAGCTGAGGAGTTTAAACTCGGTCAGTCGAATTCAAAGTCCTCCGGCCGAATTGCAAGCGGCCGGCCGAGTTGAACAGAAAATATCACCTCTTGGTCCTTCGGCGCTTCCGTAATTTTCTAATATTTCGATAAAAGTCCGCAAACTGTTCACTTAGATTGCCTAGAACATGATGAATTCTGCCTGCAAGAGGGTCTTCGAAAGTAATCCCCCGTAAATCTAATTAACCACCCCCATCCCAATCGCATTTTTGCAAATTTCTTTGTAACAGGGAATCAAGACAAGCACTTTTTTTCAAATAAACCGAGGGTCCAACGTGTTTCGTTTGGGAGCCACTCAGCCACCCTCAAAGAAGTGGTAAAATTTGGATTTCTTCTTTATTTTTTTTCTCAGCAACCGTAAGATGGGTGGCACGTCTTTGAATAGGTTTTCGGATATGCTCTATCTATACGATTTTGAATTTTTATTTCAAAATTCCAACTACTTGGGGGTGCGAAAAAAAATCTGATCTGTAGGGCGAGAAATGGTGTCTTCGAAGGTGTAATCAGTTTGATTAATTAATCGATTAATACATTTTTTGATAAATTATGGGTCACCGTTTATTAAAAATTTATGAATTCTGCCTAAGGGTTAACTTTAGTGAAAATATGCTAACTACCTTTTAATTTTTATCATCATATGATTTTCAAAAAATGCACAGTTTTGGAGATATCTTCAAAAAACCGTTTGTAGCTAGATGGCGTCGTCGGTGGCAAGTTTCGAATTGTGCGTTTTTAGCGCATTTTTGAAATAGTTATTTGTTTCATTAGTACAAAAAATGTCAGTTTTCGGGACGAGGAAGATAGTTGCTGGACGACGCGTTAGCGGAGTCCAGCAACCTTCCGAGTCCCGAAAACGCATTTTTTGTACGAATAAAACATAAAATTTTTTCTCCAACCCCCTTTACTTCAAATTATATTCGAATTTAGATTCAGTCACAGTTTCACTACTATAGTATAAGAACTTCTGCTTTCTTGTCCTCACGTGTCATGCCACTCTAGTTTTTAGGTTAACTTATAACCTATTCGTTCTTACTTCTTACTTCTCACCTCTCGCGACTTTGTAGGGAGCAAATCTTGAGGTAGCATGTTCTGCCGTTTCTATAATCTCTGGCGGAGTGCAATCCATGTCGCTATCAGTTTCAGTCATTTTATTGTATACACAATTAATATTGTTATATTTTGTATTGAAATAAAATACTTACCATACAGTTTTTTAATTAAAATTAATTGCAATTAACTTTTTCAAATTTTGAATTCAAAATGACAGATAATAGTGCAATGGGTCTGAAGTAGATGGCGTTACGCGCGACGGCGGGTTGTATACGTATTAAAATTACATTCACGGAATATCTAAATTACGTTACACATGGTTTAAATAAAAATAGCGAGCGTAAATCATTTTCAATACATGTACATACGTATAGGTAACATCATTATTTGCATTGAATATGCAAAAATATTTGATTTGTATGTATAGAAATATCTTACAACCTGCAATGTAAAACGATGTCAATGTGACATATCTCCGTGATTGTAATTTTTTAATTGGCCAATTTTCAAGGTCAATTTCTTTTTGGTACTAGGACCAAAAGTATCCACTTTTTGTACAGTTGCCATGGTGAAAGCAATTAATCCGCAAAACGTCAATTTTAGGTACCGAACACTGTCACAAAATAGCGTCTTATTCAGGTGGTTGGAGAAAAAAAAAATTTTTTCACTAAAAGCTTTCTGCTATAGCGCAGATGTGCAGGAACTAGTCTATTTTGAGTTAGATTACTTGTGAGATCGATAATTGAAGAAAATAATTTCATATGTTTTTCGGAGGTGCTATAATTTTACCGTTAGATAGCGCTACCAGTATAAAATCTTATTATTTACTTTGTGATTTGTTTTACAAAATTAAAGACATACCTCCAATTGAAATTAAATAAAATTAATTATTTAACGCAGCCAAAATTACTCGTGAGATCATAATTTTGAACTTCGCTTATAAAATACCTACTGACCTGCATTAGGTACTAAAAATGCGCTTTAATCATGCATAAATGCTGATTTACAACTTGTTTGAATTTTAGTTCTACGCACCCAAACCTGCAAAATTCCAAATTTCCAGGTAAAAATCCCCAATGCTTATAAGCAGAATATCTAAAAATCAAAATAAGTTCCAAACGGTATCTTTTGCTGGCAAAGTGTTTACGGCTCAAATCGGCACAAACGCAGCACCAACCAATCCACCTAGTCTCGAAGTTGATGTTACACCACGAAATTGAAACTCGGTAGTGGACAATTGAAATCTCGGAAAACTGGTCACAGCACAATTTTTATTTCCATCGACAGATTATAGCACACTTGGAGCACAATGTAGCAATGTAGTAAAGTAAGTATATTTTCTGCTATTTTGATTCACTTTGCTTCATATGCACCAAAGGATGGAGTTTAGTTCAATCATATGAAAAATCGAAAATTCAAAAACGTTTATTCTTAACTGCCGAAATTAATGCTGATATAAAATTTATACAATATCTCTTTTTACACCACAACCCCAAAAACAATCTCTGTTTTCTTAAGAAAAGAACTCACTTAATTTAGCAATTTGCTTTGCATTAACTTCCATAATAAATGCAAAAGTTAGAAACAAAAAC